CAATAGTCCCTGGGTTCCTTCTTAGTAGTCATTTTGGCTTTTTGTACATCATTTATTAACTTCTGGTAAGTAGTTTCGGTTAAGAAAATACTGTTTTTTGCAGCATTAACTCGAATTTTGCACAGTTCATCGTCGAATCGTTGTTTCATGTCTATAGACCATGACACCTTCTCCAACATCACAGCTTGCTCCTCCATTTTCATGGACCACAGTAAAAAACTAATTTTTTGTTGAACAAATTTAAGTAAAATTGCGTATTTTGACACTCCCGAACAAACCGCAAAGTGCAACTGACAAATTCTAAGCCTGAGCCGCTCGTTAAAAGTGACGTGCCTTGCCACGTGATATTTGAAACGAAACGGAGATGTATTTCATACTTTGCCAGTTTCTCATTTGGCATTCTATAGAATGCCTAGGAAATCTATAAAATATAAATCGTTTTATAGATTGCCGGTTAGTTTTAGGCATTATATACAATGCCTAGGCATTCTATAGAATGCCGGATTTCAAACTTTGCCGGTAACATATATAACAGAGGTAAAGTAGACTATGGCGATCGGTCAGAAAATGACCCACCAAAATTTTAACAATTTTATATTTAGGACGACTTGAAAGGTCGAGAAATGCAAAAAAACTTTGGGAGTAATTTCTGTATGTATGGATGTTAATGTGTTTGTGGGGGGCACGATTTTGCTCACCCTATTTAAAGCTTGATAACTCCTGTGGTTTTTGTTGAAAATTTCTGAAATTTTGCAGAGAGATTTGCTTAGTAGGTGAATTGTTGCGGTTAAAATTTGGTGGTTAAAGGTCGTGGGGGTGTGGAAATAATAGGAGTCGTGTGTATCTCCAGTATAGTCGGACTTAATGACGATTTTACTCGTTATTAGCATTTACAATTTTTTATAACACCCATTCCTACCTTCAAAAATAAGCTTTTTGCATTTTATAATAGTTAAAAATATAAAAAGTTTTAAAATAAAATATGATAACAGATGGCGCCACGAAAATTGTAAATGTTGCCGGAAAAGTTGAGCAACTCGTTACTGATTTATTTTATTTTATTTTATCTTTTGTTCGGACGCTGTCTGAATCCACAGACAGATAAAGACTAGATAAATCTTATCTAATTTATTGATAAATGCGGTTATAAACGTTCGTTATTTATTCAATTTATTGATTTGATAGATAAAAAGTTAATAGCAAATGTGTGGACTGCCGAATAACTAGCAATATGCTAATTCTAGCGTTGATTAATCAATCAACTGATTACTAAAAACGCAATTTCTAAATATTTTTATACTTATTATTCATCTACAATAAAAATTTCTACAATACTTCTTTTATTTAAATATAGTATTGAAATGAGCCATTATCTTTATTTAAAAAGTATACTCTTTATTTTAGCCAAAAATTGGCTAGAATGTATTTTAAAATACTGCAATAGTGAATTAAAAGTTTAAAAAAATAAGGAAAATTTCTTTATAATTTTTTTTTTCTTTATTAGAATGAATTTCTATCAAATCCGATAAAATACGAGTATATATTATTGTGGGTAACTATCTTGATAATTTCTAAATTTCATTTATAATTGCCAAAGCACTAAAGGCATCACCTGCCACTCCGAGGATCATGATTCTAGAATAGTTTGACCATTCTAGAATTACAATCCACCAGTAGCGTGCCGTGACATTTGATGATAGGGAAGCTGTGTTTCTGTAAGAAGCCGAGTTCAGAGGCAATCAGTTAATTTTTTAAATGTATTTTTAATAGATTATTTATCTGACGTACTTAATAAATAAACAAGTTCAATATAATTACCTCTGTTATTAGATCCAATAGATTCCCTATGCCTTCTAAATGCCGATTCTTGCTTTGATAAAAACATATAACATCTATTAATTTAAATATATCTATTAGCTGTAACTATCTCGTTATAATTTTCAATACAGTCATACCNATTTTTTTTACATTTTTGGGCTCATGGAGTGTCAAAATGTCAATAATGAAAAAATCTTCATTAAATCCGACTCCACTTGAGATATGACATGTGACCATCACTAACTCTCCACCCCCTGACATTTAACCATCAAAATTTAATAGCATCAATTCCCTTAATATACAAACTTTCTTGCAAAATTTCAGAAAGTTTCGACAAAAGGCACAGGAGTTATTAAGCTTCAAAATAGGTGAACAAAATCATGTCCCCACACATGCACACAAAAAAATCTCCAAATATTTTTTGCATTTCTTGATGTTTCAAGATCCAGAGTCCAAAAATATAAAAATCTTAGAGGAACATTTTTTGACTTGTTTGACTAATCATGTCTACAACTTGGTTAAGTTACATGTTGGTTGAAAAACTGAAAATATTTAACACTGATTAAATACAATTTTTCTCTCTTAAAAAATTTACAATTATTAAATATTTCTATTAGTGAACCAAATTCATACTGCTTTTCTCAGAGTGAAAAGTTGTTAGAAAACTCAAATGTTGCTTTTGAGCTTATGCATATCATCAGAAGTAAAACAAAATTTTTTTTCTTGTTGAATCTCAAGAATCGTAATAGAAATTAGATTTACATTTGAACATACATGATTACTAGTAAGGACACATTAAAAATATATATTCTTACTGATGATAATTTTTTTTGTTTTTTGACTGTTTGAAATGTTACTTCTGAGTAAAGGTAATGTTCTTAGTAATTTACTTAGAATAGAAATTTCATATTTCAATTAATTTTTGTTTTTAAGTTTTTTCAAATTTTTATAACTGATAATCCTAAAACTTTTATAATTTTCAATAATATAGTAATCTAGAATAATAATACTGGTAGTATAATAGTATGATGGATAGATATCAGAGATTGCCAAATATAAAAAATGTTTGGCAATTATATTTTACTATCCTAGTTTCTTTAATAACAATAATATATATTTGCTAATAGAATCATACAATATGTGGATAATGAATGCATTAATATACAAGAAAATGCAATAAAGGATGCTTAAACATCATTTTCACATTATAGCTACTATCTTCGTTAGATTTTAATTGATTTATAAATATGCAGAAATAAATAATTTAACAATGCTTAGTCAAAAATTTAAGATTTTATAAATGTTTTATTTTTATCAACCATTACATTTTCTTACGCAAATCTACTATTACGTCATTGTTGCCTCCTAAAAATATCATTTACTGGTATATATATATAAAAGCTAATCAAAGCTGACATTACATAATGCAAATAGTTAGTACAAATGCAGTTCTGTTTGAATGAGGAAGTTTGGATCTTATGAGAGTTGTAGACCATGACCATAGGAGTAAAAAAAGAAAAACTGATGTCTGATAATTACATGTGAGCTTTCACAAGATATAGTTCTCTGAAATTTTGAAACTTCCAAAAATGGGGTAAAATTTAAAAGTGAAAAAATATGGGACTATTTCTCAAAGGAATGCTAAAAATCAACTATTTTTCCATTTATTAGATGGTTAAAAACTCGTAAAAAGAGAGAAATGCTGTTATAATGATTACTTCCAGAGCATGATTGGAATCACATTGCATGTTTCATTAAGCCTGTAGCATGTTTAACAAGCAGCTGATTTCAGAGGTAATATCTCACAAAAGATCACATGTAGAATTATTTTACTCCTATGGGCATGGTCTGCAGCTCTGATAAGGTCCTAACCACCTTATTAAGAGCTGCATTTTTACCAAAAAGTTTTATTCAGTATTATGTAAATGTATTAATAAATATAGAAATCATTATCATCATGTCAGTTTTATTAAATTTTTGTGTAGTAATAAATCTGTATTCAGTCAATTATTATAAAAATGAGCAGTACACCATTGCAGAAATTGATGCCAGACACACTAAGTCAGAATTACGAAACCAAATGACTTTTAACTCTATTCAGCTTCTTTTAAGGTTGAAGAAAGTAATGGTTATCTCAGTCTGCATCATTACCCTATTTCAATCTGAAATACAGTATAATATGAAATGCAAAATTCTAAAGGATAACAAAATAATTTATTTTATAATTATTTATTTATCATTAAAATAATTTATTTAGTTTTTATTGCATTCAAAAATAGCAAACAGAATTGTGGAACAGACTTTCAGATTTGTAAAGGATAATATACTCAAAATGACCATTGCCTACAAAAATACATATCTGCAACTCTACAGAACAGTGATAATGGCAGCAATACATCATGTGTATTCAATGGCTGAGTTTTGTATATTTTGGATTTCAGGCATTTCTGCAAAAATTCATTAGGTTGAGGTCTAGGTATTTAGATAGATATTCAACCAAACTATTTGAACATATCCACTGTTATTTGACACTCATATTCAGCCATTCAGTATATTAACGTTGTGCATTGGCATTCAGTCTGGTCTTGTCAAATCATACATATGCTTTGAACTCTAGAAAGTGAAGTTTAATATTTTGGAATATAATAAAAGTTAAATTTATTCATTTTGTCATTCTTTATAAAGATGACAAAATTGAATGTTTCCTTATTTTTTGTTAGGAATTGAAACAGCTCATATCCCTTCAATATATAAGAGGCAGGTTAATTCCACTATGTTTAGTGCAGTTTCCGATTTAGTGTACACTGCCGTGTTTCATGAAGGATGCACTACTTCATTTACAATAATCAACTGAAGAAATTTCTGTCATCACACTGTATATGTGTAAACATGAGATGCATTAAAAACTTCCAGCAATTGATTAAAAATCAAAATATGTCAGGATATAAATTTATTTAATATTTTTCAGGATAATTATCCTGAGTTTAAATGCATTTTCTCCAATTCAGGAAACATTTAGAAAAATTAAGTTTCTTTTAGGGAGTGCAAATTTTCTTCAGTTCATCTTGTATGATATTTATTAACTCAAACTGTTTTATTTAAAAACTTTTCAACTTTGGATAAAAATGTTAGGAACTAAATTAGGGAAATAGTGTGGTTGAGGAAGAATAACAGTTTAAACTTTAAAAAAAAAAAAAAAAAAAAAACTCATTTGAATCAATAGAACTTATTACAAGACAAATTGAAGAAAATTTTGTGATCGCTACAAGATGATTTTTCTGTTTCTTAAATTGGAGAAATCATTGAAAAAAGTCTAAAATTGAAGCTCAGTATATTTTAAAAGATACTAAATAATTTCTCTACATCCTGTTTTATACTCAAGTTAATGTTTTATGTTGAATAAATCTGTAGATGGAATTCTAAAATGCTTCATAAAATATTATATGTTTAATTTCTAAACAGTGATAATTTAATTTTATGCCTACATAACAGTATTGGGTTCATTTGGTCTATTTGATATGGTTTTATTGATGTTATCTATTCTAGCCTTTTTCCATTTAGTAAAGATAGTATTCTGAATTTCTGTTCATACTTGTCACTTTTCTTGTTTTACTGTAAGTTGTTGTCTTCATAGGAATCAGATTTTTTTAATCTTCATCTGTTTATACTTTCCTAGTTTTCTCTACAATCATAGTCAATTTCAAATTCTTTCTAGCATATTCATTAAAGTTATGTTTCTATTAAATTTAATTTATATAAGCATTAGAAACTACATTAGCAAGTGCTATGTTTAATTTTATCATTTATCAAATAATACATATTTCTGCCATATGCAAGTCTTGTTTGAGTGATTTTTAAATATGAGATCAAAGAAATCACTTTTAAAGAGTGGAGGGAAGTTGAAAGATATTAGTCCTTAAATTTCCTTTTGAAATTATGTTAAATCTTCAAGCAAAAAACAATCAGAAAATGTACTAATACAGATATATTGGCTAATATACGGGAATATTTAATTTACATTATTTAGTACACTTTAATGATTATTATTGCTAATATTTTAAATATATATTTATATTTGATATTTGTATATGCATTCATTACATAGCAATTAACAAAATTTGCATAAAAAATAATTTTAAAATTAGAAATTCTCTCTCTCTCTCTCTCTCTCTCCTTCAGTAATAAATTATCTTATAATTTATTTAATCATAAATAACGAAAAATAATATTTGCATTTGCAATCAATACAGAAATTCAATTTTTGAATTTAATGGCAGATTTTTGATGAGTTTTGAACAGTTTTTTTTGTATCAAATTTAACATTAGCTTGTTTCTTGATGGATTTTTTTCCTAATGAACGTTTGAACTTTTTGAATATTCAATACATCACTATATTTAGTTTCTTCTTGTTGTTCAAGAAATAACAATAAAGTGTTTGCACAGTTCAGAGCCTCCCGAGCAGTAATTTTATTCAATATAATTAAATCATCAGTCTCACCAATATCTACATTTGGAATAATTAATTCATTCTCTGAATCATTTTCTGCTTCACTTTTAACTTCAGTAGATAACTGGTTTTGATTTGGAGAAATACTTCCTAAAATATTTGTATTATCCTTAAGTGATGTATCTAAAACACATTCAGGCTGATCATTATCAACATTAAGCCATTCTCTTACATCATTTACATCAATATTTTGGAAATTATTAGAATTAAGAATTAATTGAAGAAAATCTGATATATCTAGCCTATCATTTATACATAAAGTTTCATTTTGATTAATATTATCATTCATTTCCTGAGGAAAGAGTTTTTGCCAGGAATGCTTAAGACTAGTTAACTGAATTTGATCCCATGATTTACAAACTGCAAAAATTGCATCAGCAATTGTCCAATTTTTATAAAATTTTTTAACATCTCTCTCTTCTTCCAAAAGAGTACAAAGAAAATTTTTCCTGTAATGATATTTGAGAATCTCAAAAATACCTTGATCCATTGGCTGCACTACAGTTGTTATGTCAGTCGGAAGATATGTTACAAAGATTTGTCCATCATCACTTCTCAACTCATCTTCATTTGCATGCAAGGAAGATTTATCTAAAACAAGCATTGCTTTTTCAGGGAGGCCTTTAGAATGCAAAAATTCACGCACAGACGGAACAAAATTTTCAAAAAACCATCTTTTAAATATTTCGGGAGTCATCCACGACTCTGATTGATGATAATAGTCTACAGGAAGATAATAAATTTTTTTACCTTGAAAAAATTTTGGTCTTTTAGAACAACTAACACAAGCAAGTTTTAATTTATGCGTACCATTGGCATTAAAACACGGAAGTAATGATATGCGCTCTTTATTTGATTTAAAGCCAAAAGGAGTTTTATCAGATTTGGAAGGGAGCGCCTTCCAAAATAAACCAGTTTCATCGGCATTATATATTTGTTCTAATGATAAATTGTGACTTTGAATCAGTTTCATAAATTCCATTTGATACAATTCAACCGGCGAAAATTCACGAATCAGCGAGTCGCTCTGCATTTCCAGGTGGCGAATACCGTGACGGGTCTTAAATCTCGTCAACCAGCCCTGCGAAGCCTGAAAAGGTCCCGCCAGCCCCAACTCTTTATGAAACCACTGAGCTTTTTCAATAAGTACTGGTCCCGAAATCGGAATTCCCTCGGCCTGCTGCTGTTGAAACCACTCAAACATAGCTTTGTCGAGTTCGTGATACGTCGACTTTTTTATCGTTTTTCTCTTCGAAGTTGCATCGAGACTATCACACGAGAAGACAAAGTTCATTAATTTGTTCTTGTTGTTTAAAATATCACGAACAGTTTGATTTCCTATGTTATATTCTTTAGAAAGTTTGGAAACACTTTCGCCTTTCTGTAACCTTTTAACAATTTTTAATTTTGTTTCAATGGTCAATACTACTCTCTTTCTTTTCATTTTATTAGTATTCTCGGGTGGCATTTTGGAATGAATTTAATTCCAAAGGGAGGAAAACAAAATGACTTTACCCCTTATTTGTCCCATAAGCAAATAATGACTTTACCCCTTATTTGTCCCATAAGCAAATAATGTTTCCTTAAAACATTCTTTGGGCTAGGATTTCTTTTAAAATTAGATGAACCATTACTATAATGAGTAATTTAAATTCACATTAAAACATGTAAACTGAACAAAAAAAATGACTGACAGCTACGACACCTCTCAACAGTCCATTTGTTTACACTGTGTGCTTTGACAGTGTTGCCAGTTGTGTTTTAAGCAAACGATGTCTATTATTTTTATATATATATTTTTTCCCTATTAAAAATTCGTAAAAAGTATTTTTGTTATCAAGAGTTAAAATAATTAAGCATTTCCGTGTGATTAATTTTCTCTTTTAAAATATCTCGTAATTTTGTAAACAATTTTTAAGCTTTCTGAAATTGGAATTTTTCGGATATGTCGGGCCCCGGTATATCACCACCCGGCAGTCTCATTGTGGGCCTGGCAGAACCCATATTGGGCTTGCTAAAAAGAGGTCCTCTTAGTGCCCACAGGGCGGAAAGAGTTAAAAAAAAACACCTAAATAGGAGCCAGTTTTTAATAGAAATTTCTCCCGGGGTAACCGTTATTTTTTACTTTTTTGGCTGTTATATATGTTACCGGCAAAGTATGAAAAGCCGGCATTCTATAGAATACCTAGGCATTGTATATAATGCCTGGCGTTTTTAGGCAATCTATATGAAATATGAGAATTATTACATACTTTCCCTAGGCATTGTATATAATACCTAGGCATTCTATAGAATGACAAATGCTATTNTCGTTATATAATTTTATTTTATTTTTTATTTACATTTCCAAATTGGATAGTTTCCAATTTTATTTCTCCAAACTTTTAATAATAATATGGTATATCTTACCAAGACTTGTTTTTTATTCTTTCTGCCCTAAGGGCACCAAGAGGACCTTTCTTCTTCAGGCCCATTGAGTTCAAATAGACTCATAATGGGGCAACCAGAAGGTGAAAGATGAAGCCCAATATATCTGAGAGAAAAATTTCAAGAATTTTCTCAACTTGTCTGGATTCAATCCTGGGCTCTGCACAGCAGTTAGGCTTCCACCTTAACCACTTGGCCATACAGCCAAGTGGTTAAGGTGGCAGGTTAGGTAGTCTACCACTCTGGGGACCTGTCTGGGAATAAATCTGGGAATAAGATTTGATCACAGGAATTTCCCAAAAGTGATAAATCCCAGATATTTTAGACCCTGTCCCTCCCTTGTGGGCTACATTGAGCCCATAATGGTTATAGAAGAAACTGTTGCTAGCTCCTGAATAACTTCTGCTCTTTGTTGGACAGATTATACAATAACTCCTACTTTTTTCCCCTCCTATAAAACAACCACCCACTCTGTATGTGTCCTGCGATAATTTGGGGACCTCTGACTACAAATTTCTCACAATTTCTCAAGCCTTTATGAACTGAAAGAAAATTTGCCCTTTAACTCCACTTCCACTTTTTTCTAATCCAACTAATTCTTTATTGTCTATTTTCACATGGGCAGGTGAGACTTGTTCAAGCATATATATATATCTTCCATACTGCTTGTGTGGAAAATATACAGTCTGGTGCCAGTGCCTTTAAATATAAAGGAAGGATGACAACCAGTCCCATTGATGTCTTTGTAAATTTCTTAACTTCCCAATGGCCCTATTTACTCTGCATTTCCAAACAGACATCAAGAAATCTCTACTCCTCACATTAACCACTCAGCAGTGAAGGATGGATATATCCATCTTGGGCGATTGTGTGGCAGTGGTGAAGGATGGATATATCTGTTAAATTCTTTTGGGAGTATCGCCAAAATCTACCGTGAAAAAAATTCACATAAAAAACGAATTATGTAACAACAAAAAAAGACTTTTCTTTACTAGACATAACTGTTTATAAAATCTTTTTCCGAAACGGTAATGAGAAAAAAATGCGTGAAAAAATACTTTAAAAATTTCCCACATTTATTCTCCACTACTTTGGGATAGCACCATACCTGACTATTTCACTATTGAAAGGTTAAAACCCTGAATTTACCCCCCTTCTTAGAAGTCATATCACCGCCACAAACTTGTTTTTCACCTCTTCTAATATTCTAATTTTCCAATTTCATATTAACCTCCTTTCTCAAAGCCTACTCTGTTAATACCATGGTGATCTTCCTCCTCTTGCAGTCTTTCCTGTGCTCCTTCAATCCATCCCCAAGTACTTTCTCATTATCCTCATATAACACTTCTTTTCCTCCCTGCTATCTTCTATTATTGGTAGTACAGTATATAGACTCCAGCTTTATCCTCTTCTCTTTCTCATTCTTCAACAAATCAAATATTATTCTATACATTTATTCTATACATAATCCTTTCCTGAGTCATTTTTTACTGACCTTTTATAAAAACCCTTTCCATATTCTCTAACATAATGTGCTGGAACTCTTTCCTTCTGGTCTATGCCCAGTTTGTCCAGAGTCTTACTACTCTTCCTCACTCTAATACTGACATCATGTATCTCTTGAACATACCCTTGGATATACTATGTCACTTAGCAATCCTTTCAAAGTAGCTGCTCTTTCCTAAACGCCTTTCAATTTTAGAATCAGTTGATAGCCCTTCTTATCGATGTTTCAAATATTGATAATGTACAGTATAACTCCATGGATCTCCAGAATTGTATCAAATGTATATTGATCTAATATACCTTTCCTATATCCCCTTGCTTCATAACCAGCTATCCAAAGATCTAAGAACAATCTTTCTCTATTACTCTTGCTCCTTTTTTGAGAGTTAGACTGAAACTTCTGTCTGAAAAAGCATCTATAAATGCATCTAGTTTAACATGCCACTATTCTGATAATGAGAATATATTGTGAGAACTGGGAGTTTGATAGGAAACATTTTTATGCTTTTAAAAGAGATTTTTAGTCAATATTTTAGAATAGTTTTAAAGCTGTAAAAAGATAGAAAGTTTATCTTTCTTGTCATCTTCACACTTGTGAATCATTAGAGAAGTGAATTGTTCTTTTAAAAGTGAAAGTAACATTTCATAGTTTCCTTAGGAACAGTATGTGGAAGGAATCATGGATAATCCTCATTGACTCACTGATTCTGTACAAAAGGTGAAGACCATTTCTTTACTGTACTTTTTGTCACAAATAACATGTCACTAGCCAAGTAAATATGTTCCTTGTTGTTCACACCTTAATTTTGGTGCATCAATCCCATCATGAAAGAATGATATGAGAAATCCTCCCATCCACAGAAAAACACTCTCTTATCACATTCATCATTACAAGGACAGGTAACAAATATGTTTCAATGAAAGCTCTCTCAAAATATTTCATAGTTTGCATTACGAATGTATAGGCCTACTTAGTTGAATAATCAGTTTCTTGTATTCTCATTTAGTTGAATATTGGTTTGATATATATTATTATTGGAATGTTATGTTAATCGTAATCATTTTCTATATTAATGTTTAAATAAATATATTTAATCTTTTTATAAATTGCCTACTTCTATTTTTGTTCCTACGAATTAACATCCCTCTTAATACCACTTGAACTAAACTAACCGCTTGAACTAATTTGAGTCTGTTGAATGGTTAGTGTCCTATCAAGGACTGTGTCAGGACATTGACATATGAGGCAGAGATTCTCATGATTCTCAGTATTCTTCTTATCTTTAAATTAATTATCCTTCCTGATTATAGTAAGTGGAATCCCACCACTTCCAATCTCACATTTGGTGTCTAGGGAGAGGGTTCACTGTCTCAATCCCCTGGATCTCACATTGGTGTCGGGTTTGGTTGTTTATCCCATCTCCTCACTGGTGCTTTTCACACAATTTCCATCCTGCAAAAGATGTGAATTACCTCACCACCAGTTCTCACAATATCTTCCTTCTGAAAGTTAATAAAAAAATCAGTTACATACCTCCAGTAAATCTTCAAAAAACTCCCCTACTTAACACTTTCTCTTTCACCCTTCTAACTACCAACTCCACCCATATCTAACTATCAGGGACTTTATCAGAATTCCCCTCTTCTGCTGATAGAACCTGTAAACAAACTGGAAATAAAATCTATGTACATTGTACAGAGTATATCCAATATTTTCTGAAAGTTCATGCCTTTAACTGACTGCTTTATTTAGCCAAAAAATCCTTTATAAAAAGGTTTCTGCTGGTTCTTGCTTTACACTTGGATGTAATCTCTCACAGTCCAAAGCAGTTAAATAATTTTTCCTGTTCTAAAGGTATCTCCATCACACTCTCCTCATTTTTGCATCTTGATCTTCAAAAAGTAGATAACTGTTTATGTTTGATGAATTTGGAGAAATAAATTTTATGTGAAACATTATCATATTTTGCCAATTTGTTTTTTATATATATTTACATAACTCAATAACAGGAATAAGTAACTTGATATATTGATCTGTCATAATAACAATGTCTTATAACTATCAGATAAAATTACAGAAAAAATTATTAAAATAGTCATAAAATATTTGCTAAATTTTAGTTATAGTAATGAAAAATTAGAGCTAAATCTTGATATATTAATCTAATTATTGAAATTTGTTTTTTGGATTTAATCAACTTATATTCTTTTACATTCCTTCACACACTAACTCATAATGATATTGTTATTAAAGAAGTAATATGAAAAATTTAGTTCCATTCAGAAAGAAGCCAATTTTTACTATCTGAGTTTTCATATTTTTAATGAAATTATTTATAGTTAGAATTTACATTTGGATGTTTGGGACATTTAATTTTAGCAATTATGTAAATTCTACATTCTTACTCTAAATGAATCAGTAAATTTATTTTCTAAAATGTTATACCAACAAATAATAAAAATACATATATACACAGACTTGCATTTTTATTAGTCATGTTTTTTTGTTTGTGGGGGTTAAATAATCTGTCTAATGTCGATTGCTTTTCTCTCTCCAGGATTTTCAGAATTAATAGCATTGTAATTGTAGAGATCCCCAAGCCTATCAACCTCAACCTAGTTTGTATGCCATTCTAAGACCGTTGATCTGACATCTCCCACTTCTTCAAATGATCTTTAATTAATAGCAGATATCGGCATTAATCCTCTTTTTCATAATAAAAAATATCTCGCCGAGTTTCTTGGTGTTCTTCATTCAAGAGTTCATGGCGTTCTTCTGTTGTCAGATCCGTTTCAGGTTCCATTATGAGCTCTTCAACGTTCTTTATTTCTCAGATATGATATTTGTTACTCCTTTAGCTGCTTGAGTTTTCTTAATTATACTGTATCTTTCTTAGATAAGATTGAACTGCGCCCTACTGTAGATTTGTTCAAGCCATACTGCCCAGCAACATCAGACACCTGCCCACACTCTACCTTTGCTATTATATTCTCACCCTTCGAAAATAAAAACCGACGCAAAACTTAATTAATGAGTGCCTGCCCGACAGTCTCGCGAATACTATAAAAGAATTGTTTGTCAGAAAAATAAAAGGCTGGAATTACAAGGGAGTATTTCAAAGTTCGAGGAATACTATCTGATCAGTATATATCGGGTTGAGCGTCGACGATGACGTCTCCCGCGCTCCAAAAAGTTACCTAAAGACAAAGGAAAATCAATCGGTATTTGCTATTTTCGTCGCTTCTTTTTATGTTTGTTCAGTGAAGTGTTCGTTATCCGATCATGTGTTCGTTGTCCGATCATAAAAATCTTTCGCGAAAGTGTTCGTTAACCGATCACCCACTGTACTTAAATTTCTCTTACTAGAAAAGGTGTGTTCTGAAGAACTCTTTACTAAAATCTTTGGATCAACCAAGCTACTTGCTACAAAATTTGGCTTTAAGTGATTTGTATGCTTTTGTGTGGTTAAATTAAAAATTGTGTTATTAAGATAAGATGCTACCATATTCTATCTTCGGCCACGAACTACGATCCTCTAAGAACGAATTCGAGTCATCTTCGTACGGATCAACCCCATTATACATTAAAATTTTACTTCTGTACCAATCGGCGTCTTGATTAGTAAGAGTTGTTAATTAAATAACCTAGTAAAAATATCCAGCAACGAGTTGCGTAACTTTTCCGGCTGTTATGCGATCTTAATTAAAAAATTAATTTTATATTATTAAATATAAATAAATTTGTGTGTGGCATCATTAATTATGAGATTTTGTTATGAAAATTTTTTTAATATTCTTAGTTATTATAAAATGGCAAAAGGCTTAATTTTGAGGATAGAGATGAATTTTATATATAAAAAAATTGCAAATGTTAATAACAAATAGAATCGTCATTAAGTCCGACCCTACACGAGATATGTTCCACGATCCAATAGACCTTTGTCTATCAAAGTTAGTAGCATCGTTGACAGGTTGAATTGTATTTAAAACAATATTCAAAAGACAGTTTTATTTTTATGACTGAGGAAAAAACATTCCATAACAATTCATTCAGATTAAAAATGAATTTAAGTTCTGATGGATTTTACCGCTTTCATTTGTTTATATGTGATATGTCTATATCTTATTGTTCGTCTTAATTTAATATAATGCTATCATGTATAATGTTATACTTAAGATTAAAATAAATTACGTTTATTTTTAAACAAGTTGAAACTTTCAATATTATCAACGTACGGAATATAGGATCTTCAAAATTTTTAGAAGAATTAAATTTTTCAATAATCAAGAAATCTTTGTCATGTTGTTTAATATTTTTGTTATATTATTGACGTGACATTCACTAGATATTAAAGCAATATTCAATATGCTATGTGAAATCTTGGTCTCCAATTTAAAAAGGAATCACAGTTATCTAGGAAAATATTCGCAGTAATTCATTTAAATTTTTAGAATAATTAAACTAGAACGAAAAAAATTTGAAAACAAACTCATCTTGTAGGATATACAGCATGGTTAACAATGCTCAAGTTATAGATTTTAATACAGAAGAACCACCTTCATAATGTTAAAGCTATTAATGAAAAAAACAAGCTGTATTTAAAATAGAAGAGATATTCTCTGAAGAAAAAGTGAAAATAGTAACTAAATATTTAAAATATTCAAATACTGTATATCTGTTTATTTTGAAGTAAATGAAAATAATTTATCAATATTCAATTTTAAAAAAGATTTGTATGAACATGATAATTCAAATATGCCTCTAAGTTCATTCAATTTGCTGTAATCTAAAAATCCAGGATTGATAATTAGATGAGAATTAAAACAGAGGAAAATGTACAGTAGTTACAAAGAACTTATGATCCCAATAAGGATTCAAATATATTAAAATTTTTAATTTGTAAATTACTGTATATTTAAAAATTCATANAATTTGTCGAAAGAAACTTTCCTTTAGAAAATTTAATTAAAATACTTAAAATATTACATCTATGACGTAGAACTCGTGACGTAACGCGTGACGCATTGTAACGACAAATTCGAATTCGTTCCATTTCGTATTGTTGCCGACGCCATCTTGGAAATTTATGCTTTCCGGAAATTGCGAGTTCTTTTTCCCCTCCATTTTGACATTCTTCGTACGAATTTTAATAATAAATTAATTAATAAATCATCTTGGCCTTCGAGGAAAGCGTTAGGCGCCATCTCGTATTAGCATAATTAATAATAAATTAATTAATAAATGAGGGGCAAGTTGAAAAACTTGTATAAATCTATAAATAGGCTCGGTATTAGTAGGACTACCTATAATTCAGTGTTTCTCAACGGGGGCGATATCGCCCCCATGTGGGCGATTTTCCATGTTGAGGAGCGATTAGTGACAATTTATATTTGGGGGGCGAAAAACAATTTTCTGGGCGATATAGTAAAACATTATATTAAGAATAATTACATATTTTAATCGTTATATCGTACAATAATTAAACAAATAACATTATACTAGTCACTAGTCTATTCAATGCAGTACGAATTTGGCGTTAGCCTTGGTCCTCGGCCTCGGAATTTTGAAGTGAAGGGGGCGATACTACGTTGAAGGGGGCGATGGTTCGTTACAGGTTGAGAAACACTGAGTCCTATATGAACATCTTTAACTTTTAATTTTTCCAAGGTTGTTATGGGTGATTATTATTAATTTAATCTGTTAAAAATAGGTTGACATTATCTGATAATTCAAGGAACAAGGATTAGACTTAAAATTAAAAAAAAATTAAGACTTAAACCTGTTACAAAGAGAACAAAATTGCAACAAACAACTGGTATTTTTCTCTTTTCCCTATAAGCCCTATAAGCTACAGTACACATGATGTAAAAAAGTAGCCTATGTTTAGTGATGAATGTAAAAGCATATATTCTATATACTGCATTTGGGCATTTCTGCACTAAGCTACGGGCTTTATGCTTTTAGCGGATTTCACCAGCTTACAGCCTCCATAGCTACGACACTGGAATTATTAGATGTTTAGTGTACACGGACTCCTGCCATTCACCAGAAAAGAAAACGATCAGAAAGAAAAACAAAATTTTCATGGCTCTTTGCACATAGATATTATTTCCACGTACAGCTGATTTTATGCGGGTGGGAAAATTCAGATATGGGTGGATGGTGGGTAGGCAGGTAATCATTACGATGCATTGTGAAGGAGTGGAGGATTAAAGTCTTTAGTGAAACTCCAGTGATACCATTCACGGATGAACTAACAGATCAACCCTTGGGTAACAGAATGGTTTACTTTTGTTCCTGAAGGGTTGCATTGCAAACTGCACTGTTAATGTCACCGATTTGTACGTTATGCACGTAATTAACGAAATAATGTAACATTCATTACCTCCTACTGTATTATTCCTTAGTACAATTATGGGGGTTGACGGAGGATATGCATTACATAATTTTAGGATGGGTTTGGCGACAACGTTACGGAGTGAGTGGGATGATAGTTAAAATGTATAAAAATAATGTTACGTAATTTATAGATGATCATTTAGAAAGACCCCCAAATCTCTTTGGATTCATTTGAGGCATTTTTTAATAGTTTGACGTCTGCTATTATTTTTTAAAATTTATATAAAAAACCTAACGTAGAAATTAATTATAAATTAAATAGACAATTCTTGCATTTCCTGGGTTTCTTGGTCTAATTTTTTCTTCACTCTTCCTCTAATAAATTTGCCTAAATCACGAAAGACATATTTTAATTAAGATTAAAAATTTACGAATGAATATAACAAAATTTGGATTGGATATTTGACTTCATTATATCTGAATTTGATTATTTAAAGTATTTATTTTTTCATTAAAAGCATTTAAGATTGCAAATTCTATAGAAAAAAATTAAGTTTTGAGTACATTATTCATTTGAATTAACTTAAATTCTGACTTTTGCCTTATATAACCCAATGTTTGCTGATTTTATGGCATGAAAAGCTCCGATTTTATAGATAAAAAGAACGAGTAACATGAATATAAAATTTTGATTCAGCTTATTACTTTCTCATTTTTATTTAAAACATTAAATATACTTTAAAAGAACTTTTTTTAAGTTTAAAATATCACAAATTAAAATTATAAAATACGAAGGTTTTCTTATAAGTTGTAGATTTATTTAAATCATTTTTAAATAAAATATGTAACAAAGTCATTAAATTTTAACAATATTTCTTTTTTATAATTAAAGAAAGTATCTATAAAAATATAACTCATTACATCTTTTAAAAAAATTTCAAGCAGATATAATTAAAAATACGTATAAATATTATTATTTGGCACAGTTTTAAATAAATTAAGTTAAAAATACAGAAATTATATATTTCTTTTTTTTTCACTATACAGATATACATTTAAATAAAGCTTATAAAAAGTTATAAAAAGAATCACAATATAAAATATTATTTAGGATTGTTCTTTAACGACTATAGTTTTAAATCCATCTACATCTTGTAATTCTTTGGATGTAAATTTAGCCACAATTGTTTTTTCTCCTGCTAATTTAGGTGTCATGGTTGTAGTCACTCGTGCCTCACCTCCCACGCTGACAGCTCTAAAACACAAAATTACTTACGTAAATACGTAATCATTATCATAAAACTAAACTATACAATACACCCTTGCTAATCCGATTCTTAATAATACGGCATACCCTCAATGTCACCGCCTATACCATGTGTTATGCCATTCATTGGCTTCAGGTCTGTACACTCTAATCTTGTCGAGAAATGGCCGGATTATCAAGAGTCTGGGTTTACTTTAACACAAATTCTCGAAAAATTATCTTTAATATTTAACAAATAAATCATCTTACTCTTTCAATTTGATCGGCAATGGTTTCGTTAAACCAGGACCTTCTAGAAGAAAGATGCCCTTTTTCAATTCCTTTGGTAATGGGTTTTTAAAGTACGCGTGGACCGTAAATTCTTTATTAACGATAATTTCTCCTTTAGTCTGAAAATTTTTAAATAATTAATAATTATAAATTTATAGTTAGTAATTAATTTTGATACTTTTTATAAGTCTTACTTCGATAACAATGTCTGGTTTTCGAACTCGAAAATCGTCTTGGGCAAAGTAATCAAAATTGGTTTCAGAAACTGTAGCCATTGCGGACATATTAAATGCTGCTTGATGGTCTATCGCTTTTTCGTATTCTTCGTACGATACTTTAAGCATCGCTTCGGTTTCTGAGAATATTGCAATAATTAGATATCATAATAAACCTCAGAGGGGTGTTAGAATGAGAATTTGTATACCTTTAAAAGGTTTTAATACAAATTTATAATTTTCCTTTTTTAATTGCTTCTTTATTTCTCCAGTATATAACACGGTATCCACTCGAAGAATAACCTTGATGGTGTAAGATTTTTCAGCACTCTTATTTTTGGCCTTTAGTCGTACCTACAACAATTAATTACGATTAATTAATAAAATAATTAAAAGTCATTTGAAAATTATTTAAATAAAATTACAGAAAATGGATATCCAATCAGAACATCATCGATTAAATTGAAATTGAATTCAACGTCTTCGAATTCGTCATTCAGGTAATATCTTGAGAATACATCTTTCTTAAGTTTCAATGCTCTCAACATTACATCTCTTTCTTCGGCAGTTCCTGTAAATTCGAAAATAAATAATATTAAGAAATCAATTATAAAATGTAATTTTAAAAATTACTATAATAATCTTCTTACTTTCACTGAATTTATATTGATGAGTTATATCTTCCATAGTAAATTCATTAACAGCTTTTGTACAGATTAATTGCCCAATTCTAAAAAATTAATTAATAAAGTTTTAAAGTTTATATATATTATAATAAAGATTTAAAATGAACTTACTCGTCAGTATGTGTAAAAATTAACTTTAATGGTTTATTAGGACCGTAGTATCTCCAATAAACTTTATCAGCATTTACTTCAGCATAAACAAATGTGGTGTCAAACGTCTTCAATATTTCTCCCTGTTTAACAGCAACAACACTAGCCGGACCACAACGATATTTACCTAAATTAGTTTATAGAGTTATAAATATATAAAAATTAAAGGCAAACAATAAAATATACTTAAAACACTAACCGTCTGATAGTTCTTGTGGCGTGGCATCAATTACTTGCCATCCATTATAACTATTAAGTGCAAGATCTGCTCTTGACATCCATACTTCATTCCAAACATGATAATTCCTGATATATTATTAATACATTAAGTAAACTAATTCGATTTTGATAAATATAGAAGTATAATTAAATAATAAAAGCTTACCAGACTGAATCACGATTGAGTTCTTTTACTGGATTACCTTCTTCATCAAAAAAGTAATCGATTGTTAAACTGTTATGCGTGTCGTGAGCAGAAGAATAATTTGTAACAGTTCTACACGGGATTCCCAAACTTCTACAAACTAAAAATAATCAAAATTATTAACAATAAGTTTTATTTTGGATTAATTTAAGTTTCGATTACTTTACCGGTTGTACAAATGCCAGCAAAAACCCAACATTGACCATATTTAACAGGCCTTTTCGATTTATAAAATTTTTGAAGTATGGCTCTACTTCCAGTCCACGAAGTAGGATGTTCACCACCACTGAAACTTCCTATCCATTTTCCTTCAACGACACCTCCTTCATCCGGTGAATTTATCTAAAAATTTCAATAGATTACTTACAAAACACGTGAAGAGATTTTCTGACAAAATAATAACTTACAATTGCCGAAAGATGACGTGAAACTTTAATTGGATCACTTCTAGACACGATATTTAAAGTGTCACCATGTTTCAGAAGGTAACAACTTATTTCTAGTATACGCTCTTCAAACTGAAACAGATCCAATATGTAATTATTTGACTTTATTGAAAATTATATTTAAAAATTTTTAATTTACCTGGTCATAATTCCATGCAGCCGGCTTTAATCTGTTGTGAGTTCCTCTCCAAATCAAACCACTGTCATTTAGCACATATTCTTTCCTATGTTCTTCATTATTTAAGTATACTTGATCATCTGTTTATACAAAAATCAACATTTTGTTGGTAGAATATTTAGAATACAGAAAAAAAAGAATAAATCAAACTAAACTATTATAATTTTACATCGGTTTTTTTAAAGATTTACTGAGATAAAAGCCACAATAATCAAAATACATAGTAATATTCTACGATAAAAGAACCATAATCATCACTAGAAATATATCTGTTACAGTTTATTTTACTCTAAATTATTATTATCAAATAAAATTAATATATTAAAAATTAGTTACCTTTACACCACGGATTAAAAATAATAAAAATAGTATCATTAACAGCATATCTTAAAGTTTCCTCTCCGTATCCAGGATTTAATTTTGAATCCACTTCCAAAATCCATTCTCCGACAATCGCATTTGCTGCTGTTGTTACCTAATGCAATTATAACAAGGTTATTTAAGTACAAATATTATATGTTATGTACACATTAAGCACGTATACAGGATGTCTCAAAAATGTATACACGCTTCGATAATTCAGTTTTTATTAATATGAAACACGGAAAGCATTTGCAGAGCAACAATATCAACGAACTTATTGAACATTTCTGTACCAGTTATACAATATAAAGCCGGGTATATACAAGGTAAGTATACCTCAACATGTGGATGACAGAACTCATTTGTTTTCATCCACACGTTCAGGTATACCTGCGTACCGAGCTTAAGAATGCCAATAATACACGAATACTGATGAAGAACACTTTGAAAATTTGAAGTGGTATGAAATGTATTTAATACGTGTCTAAATTATGATATATTATAATAAAATGGTGATAATATAATAGATACTTTACATGTCTTACATGTACTGTACATGTTTTGAGACATCCTGTACGTAGGGGAGACCGGGGCAACTTCGGCATGCGGGGCAAGTTTGTCAAGCGCTTTTTTTTAAAAACAAATTAAAAGGAGACTTTGGTTATAGGTTAGGCAGTTGAGTTTTATTGATGGCTTGTTAAGTGTAGTGTTTTTATTGTTCTTCAACAAGCGTAGTTGAATTATCAAGCAAATTTTCATTTTCGTTGAATTCCATATAATATTTTTTTTTCCATTTATATTGAATTGGCAGGTTTTGTTATAATTCCATGATAACGAAAGTTACTTTTCCTGTTAGAAGGATGTAACTTCAACTTATTCACGTGGCCAGATCGTGGCTTGGCATTCTGTTCTCAGGGATGTACTTAATGTTTCGAAATCATGACTAGCGGGGTAAGATCGGCAACATTAAAGCCACATTAGAAGCAAAGGATAAAAATCAAACAGATGATAAATGAAAACATGTTTGCATTTGTTATTCATGTATATATGTCTTTGAACTTGCATTTCGTTGTAATAATATTAAATGGGTGTTGGATTTGTATTTCTTTGTTTTAATAGTGAATTCCAACTTATACATTGTTAATAACATAATTTTATATACGTGCCTATCTTGCTCCATTACTGTTGCCCCTATACCAGGGGCAACTTTAATAAAAATAATTAAAATAAGTACAACTTTACAAAAAGAGAGAAGTTGCCGATCTTGCTCCTATACCCGGGGCAACTTCGTCAATTTCTCTCTTCTTGTAAAGTTGTAATTATTTTAATTATTTTTATTTCCAAACTGATTTTAACCAGTTCTATAGTAAGGTAACATTCCAATAGACAATATGCAAAGCTTTTTTTTTCAGTTTACAGCAGTATTTATTACACAAAATTTAAGTAAAGCTTAACATGCCGATCTTGCCCCGGTCTCCCCTATATATTTCTACGAATGTTTTTGTTTTGAGTTAATAGTCAATATAAGACGATTAGTCAATCATTTAGATTTATAAATTTTGCATTTGTAAAGGTGGAGTAAACCAGTTTAAGTTATAAGTTACTTTTTAAATATTAAAAAGTCTAATTATTGTGATTACAAAACATGACCTGAATTACACTTTTTTTAAACGATTTATTCATGTTATTTTAACTACTTAGATTTCTTAAACTTATAATTATACTTAATAAAATGTCCATTGTATCAAATAAAGGTATGATAATTATTAAATTATCAAAGTTATCCGGCATTTAATGTTTTTGATTCTTGTGTTTCTCAATTGTTTTTCGTAGAAATTAATTAAAATGATTTTTATAAAAAAGAAAGATAAAAATTATGGAGGAAATAAATTTTTTCTTAGTTCTAACAAGAGATGACATTTAGGAAAAATGTAAAATATATGTTGAGAGGATATTTTAGAATCTTTTCTAAATTTAGAGCGTTAATTATTTATATGAATTTTCACTATTAAAGTTGATGAAATAAAATAAAAAGATTTATATCAGAAATAGTGAGATAAATTTCAGCTTGTCTTTGTTATTAAATTACTATTTAATATCTTATTTAAGAAAAGGTTTCAATAGTTGAAGTTATTCATAGAAATTTATTCCAAAAACGAAATTTTCTTCCCTCCTTTTTTTTAATTTAATAGGAAGGAAAACAGACAAACATAATACAGCTAAATCTCTGAACAACGACCACTAACGGGAACATAGAAAATAGCAATTTGGAGTTATTTTATTTTGATTTTTATTCAAAACTTTTCGAAAAAATGCTCTGTTTAGACGTGATCATAATTGAGAGATGACAGTTATTGAAGGTTCAACTGTATTTGTAAAAGAAAAATTTCATCAGTATTCTTTATAAAAGATCTATAAAGGCACCAAATGAGTAAACAAACTCAGTAATCTGGCATTTATAGTTTAATAAAACGCATTTTTCCTTATTTTCTATTGGCATTACTTAAAACAATAAATTAATATACGATTATTTATTCTCTCCTTTTAATTAAAATTCTTTAATAATAAAGTCTATCCATATCGATTTTTATATTTTGGATAGATGAAAGAAAATATATGAAATTTTCACTAAAAAAAATTCAATCTGAAACAAAAATTTCTTAATATTTGTTGTTAAATTAGGAGCTGCAATTGAGAAAAAGAGTGAAGAAAATGAATTATTTCATTAAATAACTGGAAAACAGGATGACAAGTTTTATGTTTGTTAATTATATGGAATGAAATAACTGCAAGAATAAAGTGAGTAATTTTTTTAAAAGATTAGAAACATTCCGAAAAGAAAGATCCAGACATTTGAAGATAACTTAATTTACTTATTAACATATGTTTACATGCAGGTAATTAGGGTCAAATAAATGACTCAGCTGTTTTAGTCATATCATCCATAATTTAATAATTGATCAGATTTATATTTGTTGCATTGTAAACAGAATTACTATTTTATAACATGATAAATAATTGTGTGTATTCATATTTTTAGTTTTTCTCTAAATCATAATGCAAATTTCAATATAACTTTTACAATATTGAAATTTGCATTATGATTTAAAATCTGTGTTTTTGACAATTTTACTTATCATTCTGTTATTGTTAAGTATATATACATTGAGTATTATAATGCATATTTAACTGTGTTATGAATTTAATTTATTATTGTTATTAGATATGTTACGGACCAAGTGATTAATACTGGCATTATAAATAATAACAAGCAAAATTTCAGGTGTTTTGAGATAATTTATCAGATTGACCGATCATTATGAATACTGCTACCACCTCGTCGGAAAAAGTGATTATAATAAATTTAGAAGCCAATAAGCTCTTGCATCTCAGTTCCGCGAGTGTATTGCATTTCGTACTGAATTTTAAGTTTATTTTATTAATAGATAATCCTGTGCGACGTTTTAATTTTACTTTTGTTTCTTAAAATCTCTTAAAACAATGTCTTCTTTTTTGAAAAAAGTAATAATCATGAAGCAATCATTAATTAACTGATATGAATAATCGCTACAACAACGGAGTAAACAAATTAATAGCAGAGAAAGATAGGAATAGTCAAATTTTTACAAATTCGGCATATTTGCCAATGATACAAAAAGTGAGAGTCAAAAATGAATGTTGTTTCTAGAACATCTTAGTAATCCCAGTAACTTTTTACAAGAATTCTAAAAAGTTACTCGGAAGAATATCAGCGATTACATTGATATGACGTTGTATCTATCGGAGAAATAGAAAAATTAATTGTGCCTGTAAAAGAAGGTTATGCGATTAAATATTACGTCACACTGAAGAAATATTTCTGATATTGTACGCGCCCTTATTGATATTGGCCATGGAGGTAGAAACCGTATGAAAAAGAAATTAAATACGAAATGTAAAAATATTACATAAGAGATGATCATAATTTNTTCATATCATTTTCAAACATTAAGTTCCTATTTTACTACAAAATTAATTGACATTGTTATTAAAGTCTTTGTAATAGTATTTATTCTATTAGAAAATAAAGCGAATAAAAACAAATTTTTCAGAAGCCAAGTATACAATGCTATTCCAAGTATACAAGGGTGTTAAACAGGTGCGGGGGCACCTGTTTAACACCCTTGATTTGATTGGGCATTGATATTATTCGAACTGGACCTTCATTTTTCATGAATAATATGACTCAGGACGATGTTATTTCTTACTCACTCGTACTTGGCCGATCCCATTGAGGATCAGGATTCTGTTATGGACAGAAATTAAACCAGATAAACAGCCACGAAATAAAGCAAAAACATATAGCCTATAGTCATAGATAAAGCGAAACTCCAGAGCATCGAGATGCTCTGGAGTTTCGCTTTATCAAATGAATCATTTCTTCAGTTTCATATGAGTATTTTTTGGTACTGTAGATATGGATTAGAAATTCCCATATTTATTTATCTTTGATAAGAATTTAATTAATATTTAATATCTCTTTAAAGTTTTCTTTGCATATGCTTTAACATTAAAAGATTTCTACAATGTTTAGATGATTTAAAATCTTGATTTATTATTAATTAAATGTAATATGAATTTAAATATTATTCAATATATTTTTATACTATATATTATAAAATATATTTAATTAAAGAGTAAATAAAATATAAAATTAAAAAAAAGAACGTATAAAAATATCTTGCGTAATTTTTAGATAAAAAGTTTGTGTCATTCCTAATTTGTAAATAAATGAAAGCGCAAAATTCAAGTATAGTTTTTATAATTTGTAATAAGAGAAAACATTTAAGTAATGTATACATTACTTAAATGTTTAAGTAATAATGTATTTATACTTGTACTATTTGCACTTTAATGTATACATTACTTAAATTCGTGTTTTTTAAATAAATATAACACTATAATTTATTTAAATTTAGATAAAATCGTACCTCAATCCTGATCCATTCCTCCTGTTCTGATAGAAATTTCGCTTTCCATCCATCTGTAGGCAGAACAGAATTACTGTCATATTCAACCGGTACCGAAATCATGGTTCCTTGAGAGTAAGAGGCCATTTTAGCACCTAAAAAATTAATATATACATCATATTAACTGTATATAATTAAGTCGATTTTACTAATATTACGATAATCTCAAGGTTTACCTTTTACGGTGAAGATCAAATTTAAGAAATCCCTATTATTATCATATTTTCTGTTTAATTGAATATTTATTTTTAACGGGAATCCTCTTCTAATAATTAAAGTAGGATTTACTTGATTTACCAGATGATATTTATCTGTATAGTGTTTTGCAGCATTTTCGTGAACGGCCAAATCCACTTTTTGAATTTTTAAAATTTTTTCTGATACCGAACCATCTAAAATATATTATTATAATTGTAATTTTATATATAATTTTTAAAAAAATCATTTTAAAACACGCAAAAAGAAATTACTTTTCACTTATATTTCAACAGAAAATTACAATTTTTCTTTCTTTACGAATCACTTTAGATGTGATGAAAGATTACTTATTTCTAAGAATTTTAATGAAATAAGTGACTTGTTTTTGAAGTAGATCATTTATTGATGTGGAAATTCTTAAAAAAAATTTGAAAATAAAGGCTATATTTCGGCGTTTAAACGTGTGTTTAAACATGTGATACAAAGCGCAGGTGATGCAATGTGCGTTGACCTTTATTAAACGATTTCGTGTAAACTAGAATTAAATTTTAAATAATTAATAACAACCACCTGCCTTTCCTTCACCTCTGATTTTTTTCTATTTTAACCTCCGGAAACAATAAGCTTTTGATTTCCTTATGTAAACATATTCATAACCTGTTTACATCAAGTTAAATGTCNTACGATTATTTATTCTCTCCTTTTAATTAAAATTCTTTAATAATAAAGTCTATCCATATCGATTTTTATATTTTGGATAGATGAAAGAAAATATATGAAATTTTCACTAAAAAAAATTCAATCTGAAACAAAAATTTCTTAATATTTGTTGTTAAATTAGGAGCTGCAATTGAGAAAAAGAGTGAAGAAAATGAATTATTTCATTAAATAACTGGAAAACAGGATGACAAGTTTTATGTTTGTTAATTATATGGAATGAAATAACTGCAAGAATAAAGTGAGTAATTTTTTTAAAAGATTAGAAACATTCCGAAAAGAAAGATCCAGACATTTGAAGATAACTTAATTTACTTATTAACATATGTTTACATGCAGGTAATTAGGGTCAAATAAATGACTCAGCTGTTTTAGTCATATCATCCATAATTTAATAATTGATCAGATTTATATTTGTTGCATTGTAAACAGAATTACTATTTTATAACATGATAAATAATTGTGTGTATTCATATTTTTAGTTTTTCTCTAAATCATAATGCAAATTTCAATATAACTTTTACAATATTGAAATTTGCATTATGATTTAAAATCTGTGTTTTTGACAATTTTACTTATCATTCTGTTATTGTTAAGTATATATACATTGAGTATTATAATGCATATTTAACTGTGTTATGAATTTAATTTATTATTGTTATTATAAGAAATAAGTTTTAATAATCACAACTTTTTAAACTCGTATTTTCTTTTTAAAACGATAGAGTTTTATAAAAATAAAAATAACTTGCACGAAATAATTTAATTACAAGCAAAATTAATAACAGAAAACTCGTTTTTTTCATATCATTTTCAAACATTAAGTTCCTATTTTACTACAAAATTAATTGACATTGTTATTAAAGTCTTTGTAATAGTATTTATTCTATTAGAAAATAAAGCGAATAAAAACAAATTTTTCAGAAGCCAAGTATACAATGCTATTCCAAGTATACAAGGGTGTTAAACAAGTGCGGGGGCACCTGTTTAACACCCTTGATTTGATTGGGCATTGATATTATTCGAACTGGACCTTCATTTTTCATGAATAATATGACTCAGGACGATGTTATTTCTTACTCACTCGTACTTGGCCGATCCCATTGAGGATCAGGATTCTGTTATGGACAGAAATTAAACCAGATAAACAGCCACGAAATAAAGCAAAAACATATAGCCTATAGTCATAGATAAAGCGAAACTCCAGAGCATCGAGATGCTCTGGAGTTTCGCTTTATCAAATGAATCATTTCTTCAGTTTCATATGAGTATTTTTTGGTACTGTAGATATGGATTAGAAATTCCCATATTTATTTATCTTTGATAAGAATTTAATTAATATTTAATATCTCTTTAAAGTTTTCTTTGCATATGCTTTAACATTAAAAGATTTCTACAATGTTTAGATGATTTAAAATCTTGATTTATTATTAATTAAATGTAATATGAATTTAAATATTATTCAATATATTTTTATACTATATATTATAAAATATATTTAATTAAAGAGTAAATAAAATATAAAATTAAAAAAAAGAACGTATAAAAATATCTTGCGTAATTTTTAGATAAAAAGTTTGTGTCATTCCTAATTTGTAAATAAATGAAAGCGCAAAATTCAAGTATAGTTTTTATAATTTGTAATAAGAGAAAACATTTAAGTAATGTATACATTACTTAAATGTTTAAGTAATAATGTATTTATACTTGTACTATTTGCACTTTAATGTATACATTACTTAAATTCGTGTTTTTTAAATAAATATAACACTATAATTTATTTAAATTTAGATAAAATCGTACCTCAATCCTGATCCATTCCTCCTGTTCTGATAGAAATTTCGCTTTCCATCCATCTGTAGGCAGAACAGAATTACTGTCATATTCAACCGGTACCGAAATCATGGTTCCTTGAGAGTAAGAGGCCATTTTAGCACCTAAAAAATTAATATATACATCATATTAACTGTATATAATTAAGTCGATTTTACTAATATTACGATAATCTCAAGGTTTACCTTTTACGGTGAAGATCAAATTTAAGAAATCCCTATTATTATCATATTTTCTGTTTAATTGAATATTTATTTTTAACGGGAATCCTCTTCTAATAATTAAAGTAGGATTTACTTGATTTACCAGATGATATTTATCTGTATAGTGTTTTGCAGCATTTTCGTGAACGGCCAAATCCACTTTTTGAATTTTTAAAATTTTTTCTGATACCGAACCATCTAAAATATATTATTATAATTGTAATTTTATATATAATTTTTAAAAAAATCATTTTAAAACACGCAAAAAGAAATTACTTTTCACTTATATTTCAACAGAAAATTACAATTTTTCTTTCTTTACGAATCACTTTAGATGTGATGAAAGATTACTTATTTCTAAGAATTTTAATGAAATAAGTGACTTGTTTTTGAAGTAGATTATTTATTGATGTGAAAATTCTTAAAAAAAATTTGAAAATAAAGGCTATATTTCGGCGTTTAAACGTGTGTTTAAACATGTGATACAAAGCGCAGGTGATGCAATGTGCGTTGACCTTTATTAAACGATTTCGTGTAAACTAGAATTAAATTTTAAATAATTAATAACAACCACCTGCCTTTCCTTCACCTCTGATTTTTTTCTATTTTAACCTCCGGAAACAATAAGCTTTTGATTTCCTTATGTAAACATATTCATAACCTGTTTACATCAAGTTAAATGTCAAGTTAAAGGAGTAATTTTGTTTAATGAAAGTGTTTATAATTTCTAAATTGATAAGAATATAATAATATAAACTTTAGAAGAATATTCTACACATTTATATATATATTTTTTTATTAAAAGTGACTCAATATTATATGTTCTAATGCCATAAAAATTTTTGATTCATCGTGATGTAAGTTACAATTAGTGTTTCCTAAAAAGGAATTCCAGTTGTGTTATCAGAATTTAATTGTTTTTAATGTATAAAAAATGAGTTTTTTTCGATTCTTTAATAGTAATTAATTAGTTTAAATAATAAAAAAATTAAATATAAAATTATTATTATTATTAAATGAGCAAAATGTTTTGAAGATGTGTAACATCCTCAATTAAATAAAAGGTATTGTATTGTAGAAAATATTAGGTTTTATTAAACGGAATTTATATAAAAAATCAGTCAACTTTTAAGGAAGTAAATTTAGGTAAAATTATTAAATATTTTACAAATTACAAAAGTATTATTTAAAATGTTAACAATTAAATATTGACACGTTAAACTATAGTATAAAAAAAAAATAGAAATTAATATTTTTACATGCAAATTTTAAACAAAATAATATTTATTTCATGTAAATATTGTACAGTACTTAAATATTTGCTTCATTGTAAAAAAAATGTGCTTAAAATATTTAATTAGTAAATATACAATCCTGTTAAATGTTTAAGTTAAAAAGAATTTTCGCCCAGAAAATATTACTTTAAATTTTATTTAACTCATTTAAAATTATTTTCAGACTCACAAAGTCTCTTTTGTATATTAAAAAAAGAGGAAAAGTCTGGAAGACATTATAAAAAAAATTATAATTAATTCAATCTTTATAAATTAAAAACAGAATATATTCATGTAAGAAACACGAACGTTTATCTACAATCATCAATTCTAAACCAAATGTTTTTAAATGAAAAAAAATATACTGTATATAGAATAAATAGTATTTTACTTATTCGTCTGATTTTTTCAATGAATAAAAAAAACATACAAATATTCATTTATCCATAAAAATAACTCTTATTATACGATGATATTTCGAATAAATTATAATTAAAAACATCATTATTCGTTGTTTTTATTATAAAATATTTTAATTTTGTGATAAATATTTAGAATTTTATATTCATTAAATGCTCAAATAAAATATAAATAAATTTATTTAATTTTTATACCATAAATAATCGCAATCAGTTCGTGAATTATGCCAATAGTAAAGTTCTTCAGAAGAATAACAGAAAAAGTTACAATTTCAAGTTTTTTACAAGTAATACCTTCCGAAAATATTAATTTCCCTTATTAGGAATGTTTTTTTTTTTTAAATTATTCCCAAACAAACTGCCCTGATTTTGTAATAAAAGAACACGTAAATATAGTATTTTGTAGCGTATTACGGAAGCTGTAGGTTGATGCCCGATGTATAGTGAATAGAATACGTGGGTGACGTTAATCAGTTATCTCCACTCCTTTTTCATCCAAATATAGTTCAAGGACGTTAGAAAAACAGCCCTTTCCTTGAAAAGGGCGATGATACAATGCTTTAAAGATCACGCTAACTAGCTTTGAAAGCTGTATAAACTACATTAATCACATTACTATTTAATTAGAGTTTCATTATATAACACTAATCAATCGATAATATCAAGTAATTTATATACGAAGACTTGATATAGTGCCAATTATTATTTACATTAAGCGGAATAAAATTTTAGAGGAAGGCTACGAATATCGTGACAAGTTTGAAGGGTGACAAGTCTGTTTAATTTTTTTATAGAGCCAATAATTTACTTTGTAGAATATGATAATGTAATAAAAATTAATAACAATTACATATATTTAATTTTATAATGGGAAATAAGTAAAAATATTGCTAAAATTACGAAAGTTCACTTTTTTTTTTTTACAAGGCAATTAAACTATATAAAATGATTTACTTAATTTATAATTAAAATTCCAGTTTTATTCATTAGATTTTAAATATCTCTACCGGGAACCCACCTGTTAACCTTTTCAAGGACCAACATCCAACACAAACTATAGTTAAAGGTATAAAACTGCGTACTTTTTCCTCTTTCTATACGATACAACAATATAAAACAAGTATATGGAACGTATAAAAACAAGTTTTGTTGGTGAAAAAATATAAAAAGGAAGAAATAAACTAGTACGTTATTTACTTTCAAAGTTTTAAGAAACATTTTTAAAAAATAATAATATACCTGTAACCGTAGTGGGAGGTCGAGGTAAATTATGAATTGGTAGAGAAGTTTCACGCGATGTATCATCGCAGCAATTTCCCAGATAGGACCAGACGTTGCCCATGTTGTGTGGCACAGGTGAGCATTTATGAATAACTAAAAAAGTTTTACATAAACCATGTGCTGCCTCCTATGAATGTGGGTCGGACCAAGGCCATTTGACTCAATAGCCACGTGATCTTAATGATTGTCAAATAAAGTTGTTAGGTGGACGATGAATATTTTTTAAATGGCGGTAATATTTAATTTTTATTTAAAATACTGTATATTAGAAATATTCGATTATATTTAAAACTTATGTAACAGATAAAAAATGTTAAGCAATTTATGATTACTTCGTTTTAAAAAAAATCACTGCATTAACTTTTAAATTTTATTTAGAATATTTTGTTAAAATTTTCCTTAGAATCGTTTAAAACTTAAATACACTTAATAAAACTATTAATAGAAAAATTGTTGGAATTTTAAAGTTCCTTTTGTCTTCCTTATAACGGTAATAAAATCTTACAGACTGACTGACTCATTGTTCTTTAAATTTTATTGATAAATTCATAGCCCTCAATGAAGTCAATTAATTAATTGCCTTNCGTTACTTTTGCCCGAGCAACGCCGGGCCCACCTGCTAGTTTTATAATAATTACAAACATAAAAAGTTTTTAAAGAAAATATCATAACAGATGGTGCCATATGTAGTTTTAAATGTTGTCGGGAAAGTTAAACAACTCATTGGTAGATTTTTACGAAAGCTTTGAGAAAATGTGATTAACTGGATATACAGTGTATTTAGTACTGTTTAGTATTTAGTGCATATTTAGTATTGTTATACAGTACTAAATATGAATCTTTACATATTTAGTACTGTTTGAAGCATAGGATTGTGTGCCAAGGATTGTGTGTAGTGTGTCAAGAAATATGAATTTTGTATTGGATTCATCTCCATTGTCGGTGTTTTCTTCCCATGCTGTTTGTCGAATTTCCCCATGTTCTGTAGCACAGAAGTCTGTTCTTTCTGTATTTGTTCATGTATTAATTAAATACAGTTTTATTTTGGTAAATAAATATCATTGTACATTCTTTTTTTACTTTTAACCGTTAAAATACTAAATGTATTTTAACCGTTGATATCATATCAACGGTTAAAATACCTTTAAGTGTCTTGTTTTTTTTGGTAGATGGTTTTGCTCCCCGCATCAAGGAGTGTATCCAGTATGCGTAATAAATAAAAAAAATATATAAAATAAAAATAGAATGCTGCAGTTAATAATAACAATAAGATTTATAAATATAATAAACGTGAACAGTTTAAGTTTCGACATCCAATTCGATAGATCCAGTTAATTCGTTCAACTGTCGCGAATTAAACACCAAAGCCAGCTTGGTGCTTCCTTCTGTCTGGGGTTTCAGACGCTCGCGATAAACAAATGTTTCTTTGGGTTTCACGTCTCTATAAAATAATACAATAAAAATATTAAAATATGAACACAGACAATAAAAAAGAAATTAAGGAAAACGTATATTATTCACTAAATACCTGACATCGAAACGATAGGACATGGTAACTCCTGGGCATTCGATAGAAACTGTGCAATCAGTCAATTTTCTGTCTAAGGGATTTGTAAAACTCATTTTCAAGCCGAATTGTTGGTTTACTTTTGGAGTTCCTTCAATCTGTTAATAAAGTTTAAAATTCTTATAGATGTTCGCTATAAATTCTTAAGACAAATTTTTCGATAATTACAGTATATGAATTATTTTAATGTATATTGAGTTTGATGAATTAATGATTAGGGTCATACGACGTAACCGTGTCCGTTACCATAAAATAATTAACATAGTTTATGTAAATAAATAATAATATAAATAATAAATTCAGATTATTACGTAGTCAACGAGAACCTACTTCTAAATCGACAGAAGGTTTGATCACTTGAAAATCATCCTCTTCAGACCATGTTTGTTTGGTTTCCTTAACTGTTGCAACGGCATATATCTTTATCATAGAGTAATCTACTAACTTATCGTAGTATTCGTCAGAAGTTACTTTTATTTGCAGGACTTCCTCTGCAAGTATTCGATTATATTTTGTTAAATCAAGAAAACGTACGACGATTAAATATAAAACAACATCACATACTTTGTTTTGGTTTCAGCATAAATTCGACATTTTCTCCCTTAATTTTAGCAGCTACTATACCGGTGTAGTAAACACTACTGGCCGATAAAACAGCCAAAACTGTTCTTTGCTCATCACTTTTATTCTCCAGCGTGACTGTTACCATAAATGGTTCACCTATCATCACTTGTTCAATGTCGAGAAGATCCAGAATGACGTCTTCTTTCTCGACGGATGGTATATCGTATATGAAATTTAATCCTCCGCATCTAATAGCATTTCTGACGGTCATTCTTTCCTCGATAGTTCCTAGAAATTACAAAAATTTCTTATTTTTTATTTAAATTTCTAAAAGAATTTAGCTTTAAAATCGAAAATGGACATAATTTTACCTTCTTTTCTTTTATATTCATCAGTTATATTTTGTAAATCTTTATCTCCTCGAATATCATCGATTCCGACTGATTTTGTCGCAAGTAACTTTCCAACGCTATAATATTAAAAAACACATTTAATTAATTTATTTATAAAGTAAGATATCTAGAGTTATTATTAATAGGCCAATATATAATTCAGTTTACTGATATTTATTAATTGCCATTTTTTTCCAACCAAGATCTGAAGTTTCATCTCTCTGCCAGTGTATAATATCAGCATTTACTTCAGAAAATATAAATGGAGTGTCAAACATATAGCCAATTTCTCCACGACGTATGGCAACGAGCGAAGATGGGCCAGCACGATAAACTCCTGAGTTAAAAATAAACATATTTTATTTAACATTCTAATCGTAAATCATCCAAGCATTATTTGTTTAACACTTCATAAGTCCAAATCCAATAAATATAACTTAAAAATATATTAAATTCACCTTCGCTTCTTTCTTGTGGTGTAGCATCGATAGCTTGCCAGCCTCCATAACCGGATGGAAGATCGGGTCTTGCCATCCAACAATCATTCCAAACGTGGAAATTCCTATGAAATCAATTAGATTTAAGAATATTAAGCGTATCAAATTATTTTATAATTAGTTATAAAAGCTGTTAACTGTTAAAACCAAAATTTCCGAAAATTCTTAAATAAACTTTCTCGTATAAATAAACATTTTCGGAGTACAGAATTTTACAGTCCCTTTACGATAAATAGAGCTGTTGATTGATAAATTAGTTGAAAACATCCATCTGTTCTCGGAATGTAAATTAAAATTCGTATAACGTACCATCTGGTATTTTTCAAAGTGTCATTTTATTAAGAATAGGTTTATATTAGACTCTCTCAACTTGCAAAAAACAATTATTATTTTAAAAAATAACGTAGAAGAAACTAACCAAATTGAATCTCTTGTTTGAATTTTTTCTCCATTTTTCTCATAAAAATTATCAATAGTCATAGTTTCGTCAGAATCGTGGGCAGAAACATAATTTGTAACAGTTCGACATGGAATACCCAAAGCGCGACACACTAGATAACGATACAATTTTTTGTAATTAAACTATTAAGGAGGTATTTATACCTATTAAAGATAACGTACCAGTTGTTGTAACTCCAGCAAATACCCAACACTGTCCGTATTTTACGGATCTTCCTTCCTTTTTCATATATTCTTCCAAGATGGCGGCGCTTCCAGTCCACATCCACGGTGCAGTGCCGTCTTCGTATTTACCAGACCAGTTTCCGATTAATACTCCGTTATCGTCGTTACTATTAACCTGTACAATAATTAGGAGTTAAACAATATTTTGTGACGTGGACAGGTCTTTTAAATACACTCACACACTTACAATAGCGGAAACTGCTCGAACAACTTTTATCGGGTTCGATCTTGCTGTATAATCCAAATTTGTTAATTCGAGTAGAAACATGCAAGCTGGCAATACAGAATCTGTAAACTGTAAACATTTCTCATTATTTAACGGTATAAAGTGAATTAATTATGAAATAATTTGGGATAAATGACTACCTGTCCATAAATCCATCTTCTTCCTCTTGGATTAGCGTGTGATCCAACGAAGATTTTTCCAGTATCATTTAATACATATTCCTTTTTAAAGTTATCATTTTCCATATATACTGGGTCATCTAAGTAAGAATAAAAGACTACATAAAAAACTGATTTGGTATTGGCAACTTAGACGATAAAAAAAGCGGAAATTTATAAAGGTTAGTAGTGTTGAATGAGCAGTGCCGGAAGTTATGTTCTACGCTGAATTTAATTCTAAAAACTAGATTAAATTCAGGAAGAAAGGATTTTTTGAAATAATTTATTGTTATGAAAATGGGTTAGAAGCTAATTCGGTCTATTTTACTACGTGGATTTCTAAATGTAAGTATTTATAAAAACGGGTGTATCATTGTAATTTTATATATTCAAATGAAATGGAATCTATGTAAATTAGTTACATAAACTACGCTTACCTTGACACCAAGGATTGAAAAGGAAGTAAATATTTTCCTTGCACAAATAACTGACGGGTGAAATAGTTCTTTTGAAATCCTGTGTTAAAATTTTTAATCTCCATACGCCAATCCCTATGCTGGGAGGGACTTGCACTTGCAGAGAGAGATTGTTTCCATTCTGTTCGTGTAAACGAACATCCCAATGTTGAGAACTTTTAGTAAATTCCTTTTTGTTAGAGAAGACGAGTTGCACTAAAGTACCTTTGCTCAAATTAGGTTTTGGACCTGACAAGTAAGAAATTAATTGTTTGTGTTATTTAAATTTTTATAAACGTCGAATCACATTTAAATGACTATTACCGAAAGTAAATTCCAATTTGATTAAATCTCTGTTAGAATCGTACTGTCTTCTGAATCTGATAGCTAAGAAGAAAGGGCTGCCACGTCTTAAAACAGGTGAAGGAGTTTTAACTTTCAGGATTTCGTAACGTCTAGTGTGGTGTACTTCGGCGTTTTGTCTGGCATACAATTCAACACTGTCTACTTCAATAACTTTAGAACCAGCTGTAAAAAGAAATATGATTTATGAATTAAACCTGTTGAGTGTCAAATTTCTATATCCATCAAATTAATAAAAACAAAAATTTTCTCACCAGTATCAGTTGAATCGCTATCACGATTTCGGTTCCTTTCGTATTCTCTTCTTAATCTATCTAACATTTCTCTTCTATAACTAATATAATCGTCATAATTATCGGAAGGTAGACTTCTTCCGTATGCGTGGAAAGTACTATGTGTATTACGAACTCTAGACATTTTGTCTCTGTAAAAAGAAAGGAAGAAAGAATTATTATATAGCTCTAACACTTCATCAAATCTCAGGTAACAATCTACTGCCCTTGTAGGGTCTACACGTGGGATTTGCCAATTATGTAGGCGTCATATCTGACCCCATTACAGGAAACTATCGATATGTTTATTGCGCCGTGTATTAAACACAGCGAGTGATATTACTTTCTAACTTAACATAGTTAAACACTGCCTCTTGCTTAAAATAATTCCGTACTTAGTCCCGTATCTTAATTATCACATGGTGTTTTATGATGAGAAGTACTTAATAAATCCTCTTCTGGAACCATTATTAGATAAATTACGAGACAATAAGAATCTAGCTAAAACCAGATGCGAGCTATAAATACATAAGTAGTAAGATTAAATTTTTTTAAAAAAATTAAAAGTTTTCAAATAAATTTTGCTGAAAAATCTTAAACATGCAATAGTTTAACCTTGAGTGATGTCGAAAGTATTAAACTATAGACTTACCCTTATATGAGAAAGTATATGAGGGACGGTTCTTCTTGCTGCTCTTATATAGTAGTGATAACCCAACCCAAACTCTGCTACGTGGGTAGCCAGCACGTATCGAAGAAAGGAACATCGTTATTGGTTAATGCTTACTTCCGCTCTTGCCAATATTTTCTAATAAAGTTTTAAGCAATCAGCTTTCTTTTTACTACTTGGCTTTACCGTATTGTTTCATTCCTATTAAATTAACAAAAACATATTTTTTAAATTTCTGTTATTAAATCTATTTTTAACTTCACGAATGAATTTAAATTCTTTCCTTTTAAAAGATTAAACGAATTAATTGTATTACGAATTTTTTGTTACGCATTAAATATGTCAAAATGTATTATAAATGTTATATTTATACGTATATTATATGTATATACTTGATAAATTTATGGTATTTTATCTCATATATGAAGAAAACTGTTTATATTTCATTAAATTTCATACAGATAAGGTCTATACATCGGTATCAACGAAACAAGCGGATTGAATTAATTAAATATGATAATAATAATCTGTTATATTTAATTTAAACCGTTAAAACGAGCTTAAATATTTATAATTTTTTCTTAATTCGTATAAGCCTACTTTATTTATCTTCAACCAATTCATTTAGAGCAAATAGATCTTAATTTTTTAATGATTTTAATGAATTTACTGAATTATAAAAATGCAATTATATTATATAATTTATTTATTATCTCGAGTAATTTTTAAATATTAAGTTTATTTTATTCTCACTTCACACAATGAGATTAAAATTGCAATTATTGTTATTTACATACTCAATTAAATCTCTATTGGTATATTAGAGGAGGAAAAATTATTATATTCTATTAAAATATATATATTTTTAGCTCATTTTCTAATGTAACAAGCAGGAAAATTTTTGTTATATTATAATACAGTCAAACCTCTTAACAACGGCCAGTGAGGGAACATAAAAACTGGTCGTTGTTTGCAGGTTATTTTGTATGCGTTTTTGAAAAATGGCCGTTATTTGGAAGTTCAATTTAGTTATAATTTAGTTTTATAAGCTGCGTTATATATATATTTTATGTTATTATTTAAATTGATTTTTATATTAAATAAAACACGTGCTTTTAAATTATTGTTAATATCAGAAATCTTATTGTAGATAAGACTATAAGCTCGATAACCTAGAAATTAACAGCGTATTTACGTTCTACATTGCAAGATTTTACTTAAAAATTTAAAAAATAAAAATAAAATAAAATTATTGAATTTTGTAATTGATTTGATATTATCTACAAAATACCTTAAAGTTGAAAAATCACTGTATCTGTTTTTCTATTGTAATTATAAGCACATAATATTTTAATTTTTAATAAAAACCGCTATATAATGGTAAAACCCAATTATTTTATCATTTCAAAACGGAAGCTACTTCCGTTAAATATCTCATTTACAATTTACACAATTAAATTTATGACTTGTAAATTAATAAAAATTTCGAAACATTTAAAAAAATACGCTTTTTATTTAAATTTATGTAATAATAATTAATGTAGATTGCAATTAATAATTAATATAATAATTAATTTAAACTTTTAATCAGTATCACGTGCTTACTGTACAAACAGTTAATTGGTCACATTACTGCATCTTATTACTCGATTGGTTACATTTAAAATTTAAAAACATGTTTATGTATACAATGTATTTTTTTAATATTAGCATATTTTATTATTATTATTATTATTTTTTTTTTAACCTAATTAAATTAATTTTCTCAGTAAATCTGTAATAGGATCGGCAATTTATTATTTTCTCTTAAATCAATTTGTTTCATTGTGTAATACTTAGTATTTGGCATTTTCTTAGAACAATATTAGATCGTTGACCGATTCTTCGGTATTTATTGCGAAAAATTACCCAAAATATACTGGAAAAAAAAAATTCCACGCTACTAGATCACTGGGAACAAAGTGTTGCATCATCTTAACCTACATACAATTATATAGATCTTACTGTACTGTACTGTATGTACTGTATAATAGTAAATTATGTAAATTTGTATAAGATTAGGCAAGATATAAATATAATTTTACAAGTAATAATACATGAAATTCTCTATACGTTATAATGAATTACACGATTCACTTATTGTATAATTGAAAAAAAAAAATAATGTAAACACTAATGTTGTTATAATAATTTTTTATGGTATCAAATAATCTGATTTACTGACAGATACGTTGTAAAATATAATATTTCTTATCTAAACAATATTTATTATGCTTTAACTCTTAACGAAGCTAAGTATGTAACAGAAAAAAAAGAAAGAATAATTTTAGAAACTCGTCTATTATGTTAATCAGCGTTAAAAATGGCATTTTGGCTCGCATGTTTAACATATTTAACAGCGTTATAAGACGAACAACCAGGATTGTTAAGATTTTAATGGACTTAAAACAATTATTTAAGAAACGAAAATAAACACAGAAAAAAATAAATAAATTGTAATTTTGTTAAATAATATAAAATGCAATACTTTAAATAATTAATTTATGTTTTAAATTATATTTTAGACCAGGGTTTTCAATCTATCGCTGTTGATCTTCGAGGGGGGTCAGAAGATTTATTTGGGAGAAATTATTGTTAGTTTATGATAAAAATATAACAATAATTCTATAAATTTTAGTAAAATAAAACACGTAATTTCGAATTCTGATGTATATTTAGTAAGTATTATTAATTAAAAAGTCGGCATATAAAATCTAATTTTGGAAAAGGGGTCGACATATAAAATAGATTGGGAATCCCTATGTAAGATTTAATAAACGTTTTTATCGAATAAATCCGTTAAAAACGTATTTAATAAACGTTGTTATAGTTTTTTTAATGTTATAATTAATAAAATAAAATCGATTTTATAATATTTTATCTTATTAAATGTCTATTTTTTTATAAATACACTTAAAAAACTCATAATTTATGCGCCTGAAGATATTTATTTCCATATATTCGATTTTTTTAAATTCTGTTAATTGATTTATGATGTCATATACTTGATATACATGGTCAATGTAACAACCGAAATTTGACCCGGATACGCTAAGCTTAACCAGAATGCAGCACGTTTCCTGAGTAGTATATCGAAATGTTTGTAATAATAAAGACCTTTAAAATATTCTTATTTCTCATGCAATAATAGAAACACTTAGTATCAACTTTATACAAAAATAATAAAAAGTTTTATATGCTTTATGTTTCAGTTTGTTAAATAACTTTCTATCTTTTCAACAGATAAATTTATTTAATTATATAACTGATGACAACATATTTAGAACCTTGAATTTTTTTTAAAATGCTCGATAATGTCTTACATTCACTTTATATTACATGAATAAATGATTTATTACACTTAAATTTTGACATTAAAGTATAGTAAAAGTTTAAATACGTTAATGTAGCCATAATAATTTATTTTTCACGACTTTTCCTGAGTAATTTACTGACTTTCCGACGTTAATATCCAATTTGTATATTTTCTAACGTTAACGAGTAAATACCCGAATTTATTGAAATTAAAATAATTAATGTAATCAAATTGGATTATTTTCTTTATAAAATAATAGTCAATAAACATGTTGTTTTTTTTGAATTATGATAATTAGAATTTTTTCTAGAGAAATCATTAATACTTAATAATATTCTTTATCATGCTATAAACAAATTAACCAGGTGGATAACCTGTGTAAATTCTCAATAAACGGATATTTATTTATGGAGAATAACTTGTTATAATTGCTGTAAATTATTTAAAATACTTTTCCCTTAAAGCATACCACGAAAATTCCTATTCCCTTCTTGTTGTTTCTGCAATTTAGGGATCATTTTTTATATTGGAAAATTAGATTATTGTTTAAAATAAATATAGTTTTACTCTTAAACGTTTATAAAACACAATTTTAAAATAAAACTACATAAAAATAATAAAATAAATAATTTATAAATCGAAAAAAAAAATTAATTAAGAAAATAAGTTTCTAGTTTTAGACATTTTTAATTAAATTTTGATATCCTGATCATTATTAATAAACTTATAATTTTAAAAAGTTTAATTATGTCTATTTTGTGAAGAAATTAGCTCAAAAACAGAAGATTTTCCTGATATTTGTTACAGAAAAATGATTTCTTTACATTAATGCTACGAAATTTTAATAATATTAACATTTATTTCAATATATTATAAACAAACGATTTAAAATAACATTAAATAAACGATAAATCTTGTAATAAAAAAGTCTATCAGGAATGAATTTATAAAAATAAAGAAATATTACCAATAAAATTTGACACCATTTTTTTTCTTGTAAAGTCTTGCAAGCCTTTCAAAGTCAAGGTTTAATATTTTAGAATAACTACTATTAAAAAAGTGTATTAAAATTCTTTTTAATTATTAATTTTACATCTCCAATATTCTATCTCCAAATATTTCTATTATTATATTAAATTATTGGATCCTATTAAAATACTGATTTCTAATAATTATGATATAAAATGCATTTTAAAATAAATATTGACCAGTCAGTCCATTTTCTTTGTTGTTAAATTTTATATTAAATAGTCTGTCTTAGTTTCCTTTTTCCTCTTTCCCGTGTATAGGTATATAGGCTATGTATATACAGAATGGTTATTATTAATTAAAAGTTTTACTGTTCAGAACTAGCTGTAACTAATAGCGGAATAGAGCCAAAATTTATACATTTATATACGGTTTAACGGACGAGGAAAAAGAATTTGACAAAGAAAATTCGCTTTCAAAACCTACCAATAGGGGAAATATGGCGCTCCACAACACGGCACACTCAAAAAGGAATAAAAATAAATAAATAAATAACTAAGACAAATCTGCAATAAAAGTTTAAATTTTTATTTTTAATCTTTTTGAAAATTGAAGAGGAAGCTTAAATAATCTGCTACAGGAAGAGGTTTCACGAATTCAAGCTACCGGTAGGTAATTCATTGACGTTGTGAAGGTTTCACAATTGTTTTGCTTTGTTTTGATATTGCAGAATGCAGTATTTCAGGGAAAGGTTCTGCGCTACTGCATTATAATGCTTTTTAAAAGAGCCAAGT